GAGCTGTGCTCAGGGAAGAATCCTGCTTGATTGGTCATCCGCATCTTCCCAATGGGCAAGGCATTGTTTCAAACCTGGTAAAGCTTTTGCTTGAAGCTTGACGCTTTTTATTGTACCTTGGATGTCTCTTCTGTTTACCTTGTGTCACTCACAAAACCATGCTCTGAACTGAACTTTGTTTTCTTATTTACTTTTTGTGCCGGAGGACCGCACCAGGAACAAGCGTCCTGCTGACCAATTACATATATACAGGGATTGAATTCGTCGAAAAACCGTACAGCAAAAAGGTGTGATGTTGAGGTCCATTTTTTGGGGCTGATGGCGTCAAACCATGGGCAAGCGTAGAATTCCAAAGGGCCAATCCCAAACGCCAGAAAACGGCCAGCTGAAACAGGGAGCCTCCTGCCGACTCAAACTCGGCCCCGCCGACCCGAGTCAGCGCCCCGCCCCGCCTCAGCAGCAGCAGCAGGAGTCCGCGACCTCGGCGACAGAAGGCGACGGACGGCGAATCCAACGGCTCAAATCGGTGTAACGGCTGAGCACACGGCTTGCTCTTGGGTTGATTTCACAAGAAGAAACACAAAAAGACTGGGAACTGAGCAGGTTGAGGAGTTTGGGGATGGTTTCAAAGGCACCCAAGGAAGAATTAAGAGGAGCCATTTGAAAAACTGGGAGCCACTGAGCATGCTGTAGGAGTCTGGATAGTGGACGGAGTGGCCGCTTGGATGTGCGATTCGCCAAGTGAGTAAGTGGCTAGGCACCTGGGATACGACCCACGAATCTGGGTGAATTATAATACTTCACCAACCTGAAACTTGCGGTGGTTGCGGGGCTATTCCCCACATAAACCACCATTTGGGGTGAATTCGGTCGTGTGAGGTCGTTATAATTCACCCACACGAATGGTTACAACAACTTACTAACTTGGCCACACACCCAGCATCCAAAGAAACGCCCCCAGTTGTTGCTGGTTCTCGGCGTCCGAGCCGGCAAGCAGCACTATGTGGGACAATGAAAAACACCTTAACTAAGTTGTGAGCGCTCCAACCGACAGCACCTCCGCCGTGGCTGGCATCTTGTTGGCTTCCGTGGACCATCCATTGGAGTTCATCTTGTGGCACATCCCCATGCTATCTCAAATGATGAGCTTTGGCTTTTCTTCCTGAACGGGCTAAGAAGTGCGCCTTCCACGGGTTTCGTTTTTTCGGCAAAAAACATATATCCTAGTGCATCTATTCAATGACAGTGCTTGGTGGAACTCCACTGAGGTTCCGGCTCATCAGCCAGGAGTTGCCGCAAAGCAGCTCAAAAGTAGAAGCGAAGAAATGATCTGCCCCGATCAAGGCAGATCAAGATAAGCTTGAAGGCTGGCATGCGGCTTCTGTGGAACGCTTGAGCATGGCGAAATTCCAAGGACCCCCCATCTTCACTGGGAGAAAAACATCGAACTCGTGCCGAAAGCGGCCAGGGGTAGCGTGAAGAGCAAAGACCACTTGCTCGTGGCGCCTTCCAAGGGAAAGCAACGAGGACATTCCAAATGATTCTTTGGCAGGTCACTTCCTTCGGGTTTCTCGTCGGTAAATGCTACTTTTTGAGACACTCACACATGGAATGACTCCTTGCCGAGAGAAATTGGCTTCAGCATGTGTCATTGAGCCTCTCAGCTGGGCGGGCGGCGAGTGGCGGGTGCTGCGGCAGCCATGTGGTCATAACTCAAATCTGTAGGCCATGGTCATGGACAACATGGAACCCCAAAGGGTGCCCCACAAGATTCCTCTGCATGATTCGGGTTCCGTCATCTGCAGGAGAGTAGATGGGCAAGCAACCAAATGCCTGTGGGTCAAACCCAATGGTATCATTTTGGGGTAGGTGCACCACCCATTTGAGTCGGGATTTTAGTGGGGATTGAATCGGATGTTCACTGGGCAGAGGACTCGGAGTCCGTATACAACGCAAGGATTGACTGGGCATGCCTCAGCCACTTCAGGTGTTTGTTCTTTTTGCATGAACCAACAATAAAAACCATCCCCGATTTGGAACCACACACACACATCATACAAAAGCAGACGCACTGAGTTGGTATACGTTGTTTCCAAGTGTGAGGGTCGGTCCAAATATCCGGGACTCCATGGTGCGTTTGGGCATGTCTCGCAAGGCAGGGAACATCTGCATAGTTTCACCGTCTCTCACAGGGCTCGTCAAATCATTTGGCCATGGGTCAAAATCCGAATCGTACTCACCAATGAGTTGGTTCAATATCGGTCGAACATTCGCTTTAAACTGTTAGCTTTTTTGCTTGCAGTGGTTCAGCAGGATCAGCTTCCAACTAACAGACTTGGAATCCCTCAACGTGCAAGTCTTCGGACCTGAACAAGACAAAGCTGCAAACATATGTTGCGTGTGGGGTTGAGACAAAATAGGAAGAAGTTGGACCCCAAAATGGTGGTGCTATTTTACGTGTCCCGTTAAACCAACATCAAAAGCAAGTAATATGATGTTACATGACCTTATATTATATCCGGAGCTCTGACCAACCCGGCAGGCGCTAGCATTGACCCAACCATCCGCTCGACGGTCCCATACTCTTGCAAGTGGTCAGGGAAAGGAATTCGCCAAACAAAGGATCCCCCTCTTTAGCCCACAGCGAATGGAACCAAAAAATCGACTTCCAAAGTATCCAGGACCCCTTTCCATGTGGGGGCTACACGGTTTCTCTCTAGCTAACAATCCGCATCTTAAAGGGAAAGCCCGGAGTCTGACTTTGGGAGCTATCCTTATTGGATGGTTTGAAAGGGAAACCAAACGGAAGCCACCATAAGCCACCCAATAAATTCGGGGGATTCCCTTTTTCGAGCCCAACGGGTTTTAAGAAACCAGAGTTCCCTCCGCCATCCCTCCTCGTGCAGGTCGTGCTTCGCCATGGACACGCGCCAGCCGTCCGCCTGCCGCTCCCGGGCCGGCCGTGTTCCCCCCCCCTTTGATAGCGGAACCTAAGTGAGGCAGCTGAAACACCAGTGCTAGGGGTTGATTTTGAAGGGAAACCTCCTTGGTGGTTGGTTTTAAAGGGAAACAACAAGGAAACCACTGTTTTTTTTTGGAGGGGGGTCCCTTATATAAAAAAAACAAGCACACCCCTCCTTTTGATCTATAGAGGGGTTGATTCCTTGTCCATTCTTTTCACCATCCTTCTTTTCAAAAACCGGAGCGGTTTCTTAGAAAGAAGGAGAACAAAACCTAGATGGCCAAGTTGCGATCGTTATTTTTCAGTCACTGTTCCTGGGTTTGGGGTTTAGAAAGCATGGAAAAAAAGAAAACGATCGCAACTGGCGATCCAGGCAGTGCCCTAACCATGATCGAACAAAAAGATGCACCAGCCCAGAGTGCTTGTCTCAGATCACTTCCACTATCACCACAACCAGAACGGAAGACGCTGTCACCGTGTGCGTAGTGGCTAGCGGCTGTTTACATGAGATCTTTGAAGCGACCCTGTTTTTGTCTCAGCGGACAACGCCCCCGTCGCTTTCTCCCCACCTGCAACCAGTGACCCCTGCGGAAAAAAAATGGCGAGTCCGCGAGACGAGACATCGTCACCGCTTGAGGACAACTAACCATTGCCCAGGCCTGTGGCCCCAAGGGAGAAGAGGAATTCTTGAAAGAGTCGAGGTGTGTTGTTTGTTGTTGGCGATTTCTTTTCTTAGTTGCTGATGTTTTTGTTCTTCTTCTTTTTCTTTTCACAGAGTTGATTCAGCACCCTCTTGTGTTTAAACATGCCGTCAGGGATCGGATAGGCCAATGCTTAAACTCTTTAAGTGGCTGTTGGTATTAGGCTTCCAACTGAGTTGCTTCAAATCGCGCCTCCCTTCTCCGCAATCTGTAGGGGAGGAACAATGGAAACTGAACAATCCAGTCCAGGCTCCCCGAAAGCATTGGGCCTTGGCAGTAGACGGTGGGCGCACTAGACAGGTGCGAACCAAAAAGCCATCTCGTACGTTTGTGAAGGTACCCGAGAAGTGCGAGCGTGCGTGAGGACAACATTTACAGACACAAGGAGGAGTCGTGCGAGCACATGGAAGTGCATGCCGGCTACTTCTAGCGCATTGCAACTGCATTACCTGCATTACTGCAAATTTAAACTTCGTTAATGTACCCATGTTTCGTCCTGAAAACAAGTCAAGCAAATAAAGCTCGAGTTTGGTCTTCCAAACCCAAGCCACTGAAGGATGCGCCGGGCGCAGTGGCATTTCCAACAGATCAGCCTGTAGACCCCCGTCTCTTCCAAGCATGCCCAAGAACTTCCTACGGAGGCAAGAGCCTGGGCTGTGAAATTGGTGATTCGAACCAGGACTAAAGCTCCTTCCCACGAAGCTCCCAGAACAGCAACGAAAAGCGGGGGCCCCGAGAAAACCCTTTTGGCTTCTTGCCCGACCCTCGAGAACAAGGCGATCTCCAGCTTGCGCGTGTCAACGGAGCTGATCGAACGAGATTTCAACTCAAGGCGTTGTGTGTTCAACGTGCCGCAGGCATGTCCTCCAAACAGCCTTTGGCCCGTAATAATCTGTACATGCCAGTGATTATCTCTGGGTCTGAATGATTGCTATTCCCACTGCATGCGGGAGGGCAAAGCATCCAGAAGAAATCTCATTTCGAGGATTCCCCAACATCCCAGAGGAACTGGCACTCGGGCTGAGCAGGACTTCCTAGCAAAGCCTCGCCTTCCGCCCTTGTGCCAAATCAAAGAAAACACCAGTTCGCGTGGCATAAATCGCCTTGGATACTGGCTCAAGCAAACCAGGCTTGGCGCAGTGGCCAAGACACTTACACATGACGTATCTGTTGGCCATTGTGCAAACCAGCGGGTGCGAACAACTTGGCGAAAAAGCTCGCGGTTCGGCAACCGCTCAACTGTACGGCGACTCAATCTGCGCGGGGCAAATGACGTCGGCGCAGGTCCAAGAAACCGCGCCAAGAGATGGGCACTTGACATGGGCAAGCGCAAACACTCACAGGGACTGGAGGCCGTACCTCGGCGGTGGACTGTTCAAACTGGGATCCTAGATCCGGTAGCCGCTGGTTACGGACACGGATCTACACTACCATTACAAGGAAGTTACCGCCATCTGGCATAAGGGTTAAGGTTGTATTTCAAACAACGCAGTTCAAGCCTTTCAGCGCTTGCCAGGTTCGAACTCTCCCAGATATTGGATATTGAGAATCAACATAGTCCACACTTATCAGACATGTTCAGGCAAGCAACACGGTCAGCAAGCGGTGGAGAGTCCGCGTGGAGTCAGTTGCGCAATGCATTACATATTGTGACCGTGGACTGTCTCTCAAGCAAAAAGCCATTTTAGACATCATCTGCAAAGTAAAGCCGGTGTTGCTAAATGGGTATCTGTGAGTATAGGTTTTCCTTCTGTTCTTTAAGCTAAAATGAAAAGAGGACACTCACAAAAGCACAAGGAACACACAATACACGCGTTCTATCACTTTGGCATGCCGCACAATTCGTGTGGGGAAACACGAGTTCGGTCACTCAAATCTGACCGCACGAAGAAACAATATTCACGGACACCTCAGGTTGGCCCACTTGACACCGGCTCATCCTCCTGTCCTTGCGTTACGGGGGAGCAAACATGACAAGCGATTGAATGATAGAGCCTTCCGCCTGACGGAAGAGGTCTGGGAGTTGCTTTCTGCTCCCCTGCTACAAGTGAATAACTTTTAGTGGTTTAATGGAAAACCCATTAGTCCAAGAAAAATGCACCAAAGCAACGGTGGAATGGGACGCCGTCCATGCCCTGTGGACCAGGCCGCAGAACCAGGGATAAGACCCCGCCGAGGTGCACTGCCTGAAGGTCCGGGCCCAGGTTCACCCGAACCTCGCGGCAAGAAGGCAAAAGGATCAGCTGGGGAAACCCACGTGGTTTCCACCTTAAAGCGGACCCTACTTGCACAAACACAGGAGGTCTTTTTCACAACTCCTGTCCATTGAGGCCTCTTTAGACGCTAAGGGTCCAACAAAAAAACAATGTTGACTGCATTCGGCCTATGATATGAGGCTAGATGGCCCGGGAAATTATCGATTTTCTTCTGCCAACCATGGCGCGGGATGGGACCCCAAGTCGGGAAGGAAGCATCATGCTGCGCCACAGCCACTGCGAGCTAAGTGGGAGGTGCTAATTATCAGGCTCCTTTCGCAGAAGAGCTACCCCCGTGTTCAAAAGAATCAAGCTTCGTTGGAATTGAAATTATCAACAGTTGCTCCTAGTACCCGCAGCTGGTGTTTTGGGCTTGTTGAACAGCCCCTGTTTCCGACGTCATGGGTGTCTTCTTGCTATCGCTTTGCGCCAACCATTTGGCAGGCACGTGTGCAGTGCTGAGCGGGTGCACGTGAGCGGGTGCCCTTACCATTTGGCAGTGCTGAAGCGTTCTTGCAGGCATGTGTGCAGTCCTGAGCGGATGCACGTGAGCGGGTGCCCTAACCATTTGGCAGGCAAGTGGGCAGTCCTGAGCAGGTGCACGTGAACCGATCGGGCGCACGCGAGCGGGTGTGCTTACCACTTGGCAGGCATGTGTGCAGCGCTGTGCGAGCGCACGCAAGTGCGCGGGTATTTTTACCCTTGGGCAGGCATGTGTACAGTCCTGAGCGGGCGCGCGTGGGTGGGTGCTGCGACATGCTACAGTTCCTATCAACTATTGCTTTTGCTATTGCACTGCTACTGTTCTTGCTGTTGCTGTTGCTGCTGCCCTGCTGCCGTTGCTGTTGCTGCTGCTGCTGCTGCTGTTCCTGCTATTGCTGTTGTTCTTGTTGTTGCTGCTGCTGCTCGTGTTGTTCTTGGTGGTGGTGGTGGTGGTGATGGTGAGGGTGTTGGTGTGTTGGTGCGTTGGTGCGTTGGTGTGTTGGTGTGTTGGTGTGTTGGTGTGGTGTTGTTGTTGTTGTTGTTGTTGTTGTTGTTGTTGTTGCTGTTGCTGTTGCTGTTGCTGTTGCTGTTGCTGTTGCTGTTGTTGTTGTTGTTGTTGTTGTTGTTGTTGTTGTTGCTGTTGATGTTGCTGTTGTTGTTGTTGTTGTTGTTGTTGTTGTTGTTGTTGTTGTTGTTGTTGTTGTTGTTGTTGTTGTTGTTGTTGTTGTTGTTGTTGTTGTTGTTGTTGTTGTTGTTGTTGTTGTTGTTGTTGTTGTTGTTGTTGTTGTTGTTGTTGTTGTTGTTGTTGTTGTTGTTGTTGTTGTTGTTGTTGTTGTTGTTGTTGTTGTTGTTGTTGTTGTTGTTGTTGTTGTTGTTGTTGTTGTTGTTGTTGTTGTTGTTGTTGTTGTTGTTGTTGTTGTTGTTGTTGTTGTTGTTGTTGTTGTTGTTGTTGTTGTTGTTGTTGTTGTTGTTGTTGTTGTTGTTGTTGTTGTTGTTGTTGTTGTTGTTGTTGTTGTTGTTGTTGTTGTTGTTGTTGTTGTTGTTGTTGTTGTTGTTGTTGTTGTTGTTGTTGTTGTTGTTGTTGTTGTTGTTGTTGTTG